AGAGCTCATGGAAAATCCCGGGCGCTCCCAAAAGCTCCTGGTGCAGTCTGTTGATTCATGAAATACCCCTGATCCCTGCCCACAAAACACAAGAAGCAAACTCCGTGTAATAAAAGTGCCGCGTTAGAAACTAAGAGCGCTTAATTGCATACTATTGCCAGATGTAGGCCAAAATTCATTTTAAAAAAAATTGTTTGAATGTCTTGAGACTTCAAGCACGCCCGGTAAAGGCTCTTTAATTAAACTTTATCCAAAACAAAAGTAATTTTTAAAAAATTCTCATTTTAAAAAGGTTGCCGACCCTTAAATAAGAGGATCTGAATATTCAATAAATTGTACGTTTGAAATAGTCATCCGCTTCTGCCCCTAACAAGTGAATACTAAACCGAAAATTTAAAATTCGGATACCAAACCTTGAAAATAAGTAATAATTCTTTACGCTAAACCCGACCTTTTAAAAAACAACAAAATAAATCTTACGATTACTCACCTACAAGATGTTTACTTAGATGTATTGTAAGAAATAAATAAATTCCACAATAATGTTATACGTCAACTCCAATGAAGATATGCTGAGCACTAAAATACTCCCAAAGTGCTACGCCCGTACGTTTGTTTTCTACCCAATCTTATGATACGGTTTTAAAAACTGGGCCTGGTATTATACTAGTACATAGTGCTGGTGAAATGACCTACATAACCTACAGGGAGCATGTTTACTTGCCGGCCTTATTTATGACAAATGTAAAAAAAAAAGGGTCTTGCCAGAGAAGCCCGTCACTAATTCAAAAGTTAAGCCCCACCGCTAATGCAAAAAGTGCACAGGCGAAAAGTTAAGCCCCCACCGCTTGTGATCTTTCCTGATGTCTTTACATTTCAATGTTTTAACGCACGCCGTAAAACAACTCATTATCTGCTTCTAGGGGTTAATCTTTGGGTTGGGGTTAGGGTCCCAACATACATACTTTTTCATGCAAATTATTAATGACATATCTCAATTTCACTTTTTTGTGTGGCGGAGATTAATTGGACAAAAAAAAAATAGATATAGATGATATAGATAGAAACTTCAACAGCAACAGAGATTTTTTTTTTTTTTTGCTGTGTCATTGACGGATAAAAAAGGCGGTCATGGGTTTTGTCTGTGTGAAGCATAGTTTTCTTTCAAGCGCCTCTTCGGGACAAGGGGGGGGGGGGGGGGGAGATTACGCCAACACCCCCCCCCCCCCCCCCCCAAAGTATGTCAACTTATATATAATATTAAACATATAAATATCCGTCGACTCCCCCGGGTGACACCATTTAGGGGGGTGACACAAGGCAAAAAATAGCAAAATATATAGAGAAAAACTTGAGGGGGGGGGGGTGCAAATCGAAAGTTTGAGGGGGGGGGTGCAAATCGAAAGTTTGAGGGGGGGGGGGTTCAAATCGAAAAACTTGAAAGTTTGTCCCCGGGAAGGGTCGCAACGCCTCTGGGGGGGGGGGGGGGGGTGACACCATTAAGTGCCGCACCGGGTGACACCCGACCTCGCTACGCCACTGTATATATGTGTGTGTGTGTGTGTGTGTTTTATGAAAATCTGTTTAAAAATATCCGCACAAACATGTGAAAAGTATACGGAAACGAAGAAAGGAATGGATCTATTTGAATACATCTCTCTATAACTCTCTACGTGGGCCTACTGTTGTAAACTTGTTATGGTTATAGTGCTGCTTGTATGAATCTAATGGAAGGTGCAGGGTTATAATAGATATGTCAAAGAACGCCAGTCTGATGTTATTTACTCTTCTTCTTCTTCTTTCTTAAATTTTAGTGTTGGAAGGGATCGAGTCTTATCTGCCAGAGGGGTTTGAACTCTAGACTTTTTCGAATTTAGCAACCATAAGCTTTGCCGACTCGACCACGCCTCCGTCACAATTAAGGATACGTGTCAACTGGTTGTGCGCCATTGAGGCCATTGACTCCGATTTCAGCCTGCTTTTCTTTTTAACACGTTTTTATTAACTCAGCTTCGCGTTTGTGTGTTTGTTGTTAAAATTGACATCGAAAATTAGCCCACTTCTGATTGTTCTATAGTTCTGAAATTTGGCATGCAGGTTACTTTCGCCTAACAATTTCAGATGCAATCATAAAAACTAGCAATTAGAGACCGTAATTAGCTTAATTTAATTACGCCCTAAGGACCATAAAATTGAGGACATGATTTCTAAAGATACCGACAAGACTGAAGACCTATTGACACAGTTACTTCGGCCCCAGGTTCGAATCCTGGTCGATCAAGATTTTTAGTCCGTGTATTTATAAACACTTAGTCAAGTCATACAATTGGATAAAGTAGAAAATAAACTATATAAAAAACTTTTTTTAAAAAACCATGTTTTTCATGTGTAGCAACGGACTAAAAAAGGAGAAAATAAAATACTTAAAAAAAACTTTAAAAAAAACCACGTTTTTCTTGTGGACTAAAAAGTAGAAAATAAATTTTCATACATTTGATGACAAAAAACGTGGGTCGGGCAGATGGGTCGGGAAATTTGATGGTGAACGTACCCACGTTTTTTGTCATCAAATGTATGAAAATTTATTTTCTACTTTTTAGTTCCACAAGAAAAACGTGGTTTTTTAAAAAGTTTTTTTTAAGTATTTTATTGGATTTGCTTCCAAACAAGAACAAACTACAAGGCAGCAGTTGTTTGATTTTGGAGTTGTCTCTCCTAGAAAAGTGACTGTCCCAGCTAACGAGTCTCATCTGTCCGAGGGTTCGAACTCGAGACTTTCCGGTTTAGCAACCATCTCGTTTGGAGATACAACATTTATTTAGATTGTAAGTAACTAACAAAAAAATTGATAAGAAATTTTTAAAGATCTTCGTTAACAGAAAATTGGTGGCTTCCTGTTCATCCCCCCTTAACCCTTCACTGTCAATGAGTTAGGGGTCATCCATACATGACGTCACGCTTTTTTTGACGATTTTACCTACCCTCCTCCCCTCCGTCACAAAAAGCCAGAAAAATTGCAGTTGAATTTTTCTTAAAACATCGATATTTTTCCTAAATATTGTCTGAACTCTGTCAAAATAGAGTATTTTAATTAATTCCTACTGCAATTTATTTAAAACAGTTTTCTAAAACGTCTAAAATTAATTTTCTAACATTGCTTTTTATAATGCAAAAGTGTGACGTCACACCATATGACCTTCCCCTCATCACACACCGTCACAAAATTACGGCCCCCCCTCCCCCCCCTACGAGAATGGCGTCATTTATGGACGACCCCTTCTGACTTTATCACTTCTTTTTTCTATACTTATGAGATAAACCTAGATCTAGTCGTATCCTTGAAGCTCCCACCTGGCGTCTAGGTTTGGTTTTAATTCTTATTGATTGAATACATACAAAGAACGTCACTAACCGACCTGCCACTTCAAATAACTAGGCCTAACATTCAAAACACGTTGATTCCTACCTAACGTAGTGATTTCGAACGATGCAAATAGTCTATACCAGAGATTCTTCCAGGCATCTCTTCAAGGGGGCACCGCCCCCCCCCCCCGAACGTAATGGAATTTGTATAGGAAATATATTTTTTTTGACAGTGTCCGCCCCCCCCCCCCCTGGAAATTGTTGTCCGCCCCCCCCCCTCCCCCCGAAAATTTCAAGTGCACCCCGGAGAAAAAAAGTCTGGCAGAAACACTGGTCTATACATTTTTTAGAATGTTTGTTTTAAAGCGTTATAGGCTTCTCCTATCACTATCGGGCCTTTTATTTGGTTAGCTAATAGACTTAGACGGATTATTCTCTTAAACGCACGGGTTTGAAGTAAAACATGCATTCTAGCCTGTTTTGTTAAGAGTCAGTGTTTTTTTTTTTTCTGTTTGATTACTCGATTTGTGTGCCAGCAATAAAATCTATAATATTTAAGGAGTGTTGCTTCATGTAAATAGTTTTTGAGCAGAAAGCTATGACAGCCGATGTTAACATTAGAGGGGAAGTTTTTTCATGGGGAATAACTCATGTGTGTGGTTTTTATTTGGTAAATAAAATAGCTTGGTCATTTAAAACATTCAAAGTGTCACTTAATGTACATCAAACAAAAGTCTGTCGGAAAAATTAAATTTACCATGTAAGAGGAAATTTGAAGACCTCTAAACAACCAAAGGGTCCTCTCAGCCCACCCCCCCCCCCAATCCGCCACTGTCTGCCCTATGATCACCACAGAGTCGTAGCGAGGGGGGGGGTATATTTGTCCCCCGGCGCCGACCCTAGGGGACCAAAATAGGCTCATTTTAGCTGCTATTTCGAATTATACATATGAAAAATATATAGGGGGGGGGGGGGGAGGAGGCTCTAAATTGAAAGTTTGTCCCCGGGCGCCGGGAGGGATCACCAGGCTCAAAGAGGCAACTAAGAAAAACTAATATTACTAAATATTTCAAATAAAGCATCTAGGGAGTTTTAATCCAAAACAACTAGATCTAGATATTCTATAGCCTACTCTATACTATACCTACAAAATATAGCTATCCGGAACTTCACTTCTAATAACAGATGTGTAAAGTAAAGCATATTTCTATACCCTTTCTTAGTTAAGTGGCTGGTGAACAAAGAGGGGTCATTCACTGCTAGGGTTAGTCTATATTCTATAATGCTGCTAGTGGAGAGCTAAATCAGAATGTAGACTAGATCTATATGCCCAACAATTGCATCATTAAAAAAACCGCTTTTTAATACTCAGGATTGTCCACACTGACAAAATCTGATAGGCCTAGTGAAAAGTCTAGTGTGTCTTGACATCCGCCGAACCCATGAGACTGACTCAACGAACTCAGGTTAAGAACCACTGTACTGTTATCTAATATCTAGAGCTTGTTTTACCACTGTCTTAGATCTAGAAATCTACTATTAATAATTATTAGTCCTATAGGCCTACAATTTTCCCACATCAAAATTACAGGAAAAGCAAATGATAAAATCACAAACGTTTGTTTACTTACCTTAAATTATGTTAGACTTAGTTTAAATTTAAATTATGCCTAGACTAAATGTTGCAGTACTAGATTCTAGGTACATGCGCAATCGCTGCTCTTTGCCCTTTGAACTTTGTACCCACTTCATGTTATTTGTTTGGCCTCGGCAACTTAACTCATAAAAAGCATAACTTCTCTGGAAGTCCTGCGCTGAAATTTTATCTTAGAAATATCATACAATACGCTAAAACTCAGCCAACACAATAAATAAATGGCATCACGTAAAATACCAGCCTCTATGCGACAAATTATTGTGAAGAAATTGGGAACAAATTTTAGAGAAGTGACTGAAATTGTTGAGGCGAGGATACCATCTCCCGGACCAAAGCAAATTCTTGTAAAAAATAAGTAAGTGAAGTGTGCAGAACTCAGTAACCACTTACTTTAAGTTGACTAGGATACTACTAGATCTAGAGACAGAATATTGAGAATAAAACTAAAAAATGGGGGGGGGGGGGCTAATTCAATTGCTTAGGCCCTAGTTAGTACGATTTAGTGATTAGGCCTAATTACTAACTAATTAGTAGTTTTACTAAACTTACTTTATGATGGTGTGTGACAAAAAAAAAGGGGGGGGGGGGAGGTCAGAAATCGTAAGGACACACAGTTTGCATTGTTATTAGGCTTGAAAGGCTGATTTTGGAAAAGGGTCCTTGATAAATGACATCACACTCGTAGGGGGAGGGGTCCGTAATTTTGTGACGGTGTGTGATGAGGGGGAGGGGAGGGGTTCAGATGGTGCGACATCACACTTTTGCATTTTAAAAAGAGCAATGTTAGAAAACAAATTTTAGATGTTATTTTGCGTTTTAAAAAACTGTTTTAATAAATTGTAATAGGATTGATTAAAATACTCTATTTTGACTAAGGTCAGACCAGATTTTGAAAAACATTGATGTTTTAAAAAAAATTCAACTGCAATTTTAAGGGGGGGTTGTAGGCTGAGGTGTGATGTCATTTTAGGGGGGGGGGTCTGGCTTTTTGTGACTATGTGTGACGGAGGGGGGGAGGTAAAAATCGTCAAAATAAGCGTGTCATTTATGGATGACCCCAAATTGTAATTGAAATAACTTAATGTTGACAGCTCTCTGCTAATATTATAGAAAAAAATCAATGTTTTAAAAATAAAAAAAACTGCAGTTTTTATGGACGGTTATGAGCTGAACTGTGATGTCATTTTCTGATGAGGCTCTTTTTTTGTGACATTGTGTGATGATGGGGAGGCCCAAATATACATATGGCATACCCGTACTTCATTACTTTAACAAAAAGGGTTCAAGGCTCTCATGGATGTCTCCCCCCCCCCAGATTCCCCTTCCCCTATTAGGTTGTAATGTGAACCTCTGCCAAACATTTTTTCCCTGGGCGTAGTTAGCCCTTTATCGCCCGTCTAAAGAAACGCATGCCTAACACCTTGCCCACAGTGGCTTTACAAATGACTGACTGATGGAATGACACACTTCCTGGCGGCATGCATATATATATATATATATATATATATATATATATATATATATATATATATATATATAATATATATATATATATATATAAATATATAATATTTAATGTTTTAACAATTGATCAATGTACTCAATGCAGAATAAGCACAGTGAATATTTTGAGAAAGATGTAGCCATTTTAAAAAAAAAGTGTTATTTTAAGGGGGTTGGTGTCTGGCTTTATGTGATGATGAGAAGAGAGAATGTAAAATTGTTTTAAAAGCATGACGTTGTTTAAACTCACACTCACTAATTATGAAAATCTTTGATATCATAATTTTCGTCTTGTTTCACTTTCAAGATTTTTGGGAATAAATGCATCAGACATTAATTATGCAGCTGGAAGATACGACCCCACTAAAAAACCACCCTTTACTCCAGGTTTTGAGGTAGGTTTGATTTTTTTTGTTAAGTCAATTATTTGACTTAGCTTTTAATATCCTGTTGTTGTTTTAAAATTAGTATTACACCTTACAATTACATCAAAATAAATATAGATCTATACTCACTACAGCTTTTTGTTCATGATTTGTAAGTTCTGTAAAGTTTGATGACATAATTGAAACATTTTTTATTAGGGTCTTGGAGAAGTAGTCAGTGTGGGCTCAGATGCTAAATCAAAACTTGGGCAAACAGTTGTTTATTCCAAATTTGGAGCTTTTCAAGAATACATTGTAAGAATATTTGATAAAAATATCTCTAATAAGTATGTTAAATATAGAATTAATATTAGTGGGATTAAGTTTTTTCTTTACGTTTTTGTAGTAATATTTAAAAATAATTTCTAGGCCGTTGATGAATCAACTGTTATGCCAGTGCCATCCTGTGATCCTGCTTTTTTAACCTTCATGGTTAGTGGATTGACAGCGTCTATTGCTTTAGAGAAGGTATGCTATATTTGAATTGTGTTTCTTAAAGTAGGACTGACTAAAATATTGCAGTGTCTTTTATTAAATAGCATTTAGTAATCCTATTTACTGGGGGTATTAGTATTTATTATTATCATACCTATTATTAGCTTTCAAGTCTGAATGAAGTCTGAAATGTTTATTTTTTTAAATACATTTTTTTTAGAATTTAAAAATATTTTTCCTCCTATTAAAGAAAAATGTGAATTCTTCTTCATAGCTTGGTAGACTCTCTCCCGGCAATGTTGTTCTAGTTACAGGTAAGACTTGTTTTCTAACATTAGTGCAGTTTTATTACATCATTGTTATACTGAAGCTTTAACAAGTGGTATCTTGTTTTGCAATGACTCTCAACACAGAAGCTGTAGATGAAATTTATTAAAATTACGATAAAATTAATAATTTTAGAGAGCATATTCTTTTTAAACGATATTTTATTGTATTAATGACACTCAGCACAGAAGCTATAGATCAAATTTATTAAAATTACGGTAAAATGAATAATTTTAGAGAGTATGTTCTTTTTAACGATATTTTATTGTATTTTATTTTTCAAACAAAACAGCTGCGGCAGGGGGTACTGGACAGTTTGCCGTAAGTTTTAATATGGTTGTTTAAATGGTCTTGAAATTTAAAAAACCTGGAAATGCCATGAATGTGTTGAGATGTTAGCTCCTCCCCCCCCCCCATTTTTAAAAAAAGTTTCTGCTTTTTTTGTTAGGCTGGCATGTACATTTCTGGTTATATTATAGATTAAAGGTTAAATTAAAAGTATTGTATTACTAGCTTGACTAAATGTTAATGTTTTCAGGTTCAGTTAGCCAAAAGTGCAGGGTGTCATGTGATAGGCACTTGTTCAAATGAGGATAAAGTTGCTTTTTTGAAGGTCTGTTTTTCAAATTTTATTGAGCTACGTATTCAACATTAAAATGGTAGTTGACATATTTTTTTACTGTAGTTCCTTCTATTCAGTTACTGCCTTTCTCCTCTCTTTTACACACAAAGATAGCTTAGCTAGGGATCTAATAATTTTCCTACTTCATGTCATTATACTATTATGATAATCTGTTCTTCCTGTTAGTTATATTTATTGAATTAGGAGGGTGAAAAAATTGTAATAAAAAAAATAAATAAAAGCAATCCTGAAATGGTAATAGTTAATTAAAAAATTGATTCTATTAATTTTCATAAAGTAATTATTACACCATCATTTTTCTGTAGAGTATTGGTTGTGATCGTGCTGTAAACTATAATAAAGAATCTCTAAATGATGTTTTATCCAAAGAGTATAGAGTAAGTACAACACTATTGATAAGGTGATATTAATTCAGTTTACAATAAACAAGATATACAGCTCTGGCTTATAAACAACTTTTGCATTTTCTTTTTTCTAAGAAAGGTGTTGATGTTGTTTATGAATCAGTGGGAAATGAAATGCTTGATGCAGCTTTAAAAAAGTAAGAGCCTCATTATGTTTGTTCTAGATTTTACTTCAATACGATGTACATTCAAAATATTACAAACAATTACACCAGTTTTTTTTCCATTAAATGACTGATCACATTTACTGTAAAATAATAAAACCCATTTTAAAATGTATAACTAATACTATTTTTTTGTATGATATAGCATTGCTTTGTTTGGGAGAATAATTGTGATTGGTTCCATCTCAAATTATGCAACTGAAAGTGAATCAGAGCAATCTCTCAACAGCATGGGAGACAAGAGTAAAATGAATATTCCTGTTACAGTGAGTGCTTTAAGTTGTATTTATTTCACTAAACCAATAAATACTAATTTCTTATGCGTCTGGAATTAAACATAAATTAATCATAAAAACCAGATTTTTTTTTCAATTTTTTTAATAATAGAAGAAATGCAACATTAATGAAATTTCAGTCAAATAAATTACATGATTGTTATAATTTGTTTGTAGAATTCTATACAAACTATGTTTGTCATACAAAGCCATTAAAAATGCTATTTCTTATCCAATTGATGCCATTCAAATCACTTTCCTTCCAAATATTGTTGAAATTGAATTAATATTTAATTTAAAAAATATATTGTAGGATCTATTTTAGGTTTAAAAAACTGCTATTAATTACTAAAGTATTACCTACAACTTACTACAAGAATAAAAATATACTATTTGAGAATGTATAACTACATTTTGAAAAGAAGGTTAATTTAACTTTTTTATTTGGTTTGATAGCTCCTTCAGAAGTCTGCAAGCATGAATGGATTCTTTTTTTCGCACTATCGGGCTGACATAAAAAACCACCTACTTTCATTGACCAAACAATACAAAAGTGGGAGCCTTAAAGTGTTTACTGACAAAGGTGTTGGTGTACCGACAGGACCTTTTGTTGGTTTAGAAAAAGTTGTTGATGCTATAGAGGTACAGTTAGTTATTTATACGCCTTTGTATTCAGTACAGTTTTATAATTACTGCATTCTCAGTGTGTGAAGAACTATTCTGACTTTAACGTTTGAATATCATTTTTTAAACAATTTTTTCCCATAATTATCTGTAGTTGAAACTTCTATTTAACAGCCCTATACAAAATTCCTAACTTCTAAAATCATACTGCCATTAATATCTCTAAACATAAACAGATTTTACTATTAATTATTTGAATTTACAATAGACTATTATGCAAGGGATGAACTTTATTAAAAGCTTGTGTAAAACTGTTTACAGCTCAAGTAGGCCTACCATCAAACTATTTTTTAATAATGGTGTTCCTATGTGTGGAAGCAATAGTCTACATTGTATCTTACCAATATGCCTAATAATCTTGCAATATAAGAACAAACAAGGCAAAATTTATAAAGGATCCTAGATATGCTTGAATCAATTGGTATTGAAAAAAATCACATTTTTTTTTGTTGAGACATTTTTATAATGCTAAAAAAATGCAAAATATTTTTATTTTTTTCAGTACATGTATTCAAGAAAAAATGTTGGTAAAATTGTTGTTGAGCTTACAGAAAGGAGTTCTCTGTGAGAAGAGCCACATCTGAATCTCTAGGGCAATAAAGTTCAGAAAAGTTTATGTTAGATCAATGTAATGTTAAGCTTTAGTCTACTAGTACTAGTGATAAAATGTTATGTTTCTTTTTTACAATTTAAAAAATTTCTAACATCAAAAAACAACAAAGTGGAAATGCTCTTGATGGAATCAAGTACTCTCAAAACTATTTTTGTACCTGGTCCAAAATGTTATTTTTTTTTTAAGGAAGTCTTTTTTCTTAGTTTTAAGTGATGTAATGTTAATGTCATGATTGTTCATGTTAAGCTTTGCATAATGTATCTTTAATTCATGTTCAAATAATAAATTTGTATTCAGTGTAAATGAAATTTTATATCATCAGTTATCTTAGAAATAATATTAAATAAATGTTTTTAATGGTACGTCTATAGAATAGGGCATTGGTTGCATTGTGTTTTATGGTACAAAAATACAATTTGCATTAGATTCACTGCCTAGTATTTGCCATAGATGATAAAATTTTACCAGCATATTTAAAAAGGAGTAAACATTTTTTTAAATTTTGAAAATACATTTAAAAAAAATTAAACCAAATCACATTTTACAGCAATTATTTTTTGGTGACATTATAAATGAATAACTTCCTATTTCAGACAGAGTTATAAGATACAGTCAGTTAACTCACTTTTAATGCACATATAACCTAGAAATATTTTTTGTATTAACTTGGACTCCACAGTAAAATTAATGCATAAAAGTTCAATTTATAATCAATACATTTGTACGTAAGTAAACAATGGTATTTTATTTTTAAATATATGCTATGTAATAATTGTTGACAGAAATTATATTTACTGAATAAACTATTTTTTTTAAATGAAAAAACCAATTTTGTTAATTCACTTATTTGAATCAAACCCCCCTTCTTTGATCTGTATTGAAAAAGAGAAAATAAAATAGCTAATAATCACATTATCCCCTGAAATTTTTTTTTTGGGGGGGGGGGGGGGGGGGACATTGTTAAAAGTATATGTTTTCTATATAAATTCCATTTCATTCGAGGGGGGGGGGGCCTCCTCCTGAAGAGATGCCTGGAAGACTCTGCAATGTACCCCCCTCCCCCTTCTCCGTGGGACGTATTAGAAAAGTATGTAACTTATAATGATTTTATTAGTTAAAGAACTTAGACTTAGAGTCTTAGAACTTAGAAGAGGCCTACAAAAAATATTAAAATAATGCTTTACTTAAGTTACTAGTTACTAAGAATACTAGTTTAACGAGTTTAACCACTGTTCCGCACCCCCCCCCCCCCCCCCCCCCCCCGAGAAAAATGTCTGAAAGAAACGCTGGATGATGCTTCAACCAACATTTAATTCAACATTTAGATCTATGTCCACTAGAAAAATATATATCTAGATCTAGATTCTAGAAAAAAAATCTACCACTAATCTACAAAGACCGATTAAAGAGACGGGTGGCCAAAATTTAAGAACCTCTGCGATTCAATCTAGAACTATCTTGCTTTTTGAGATTAAAGAGTTATTGTTTTCATTTAAAAATGGTGTCCGGCTTGGTAATTTTAAGTGTTGTGATCGAAATAGGGATCTTTGTTTCTGGTAAGTGTAATGTTTCAGTAAGATTATACAATTTTGTTAGATTTTGTTTGAATTTTGCTTTATCAGTAATGTACATTTACCAGCCGCCAGCTGCAATGATCATGAATGGATTATTATTATATTAATCATTTCTGACTCATTCAAATTGAATGAAAGTTTGGGTAAAACTCCATTTTAGCGTATTTTATTCTCCGCTTGTCGTTTACCTCCAGTTGAGCGTATTGTATTATAATAACCGAAACACACCCAAAACATTAGGAAACACGATTTATATATTTGTATTGTATTTTTGTTTTTCACAAATGAATAAAAATGAATATTTATTTAAAAAACACGACTTATTTATTTGTATTGTATTTTTGTTTTAACAAATGAATAAAAACAACAAAGACACTGACTGAAATGCTTTGTTTGTTGGTTACAAAAATAGAGATGCACACTTTGTACAAATAAGTGCTCCAATTTCAACTAAACTGAATAGAAGTATTAAAAGGCATAAGGGGTCGTTTATAAATGACGTCACACTTGTAGGGGGGAGGGGGGGTCCGTAATTTTGTGACGGTGTGTGATGAGGGGAGGGGGGGTCAGATGGTGCAACGTCACACTTTTGCATTATAAAAAAAGCAATGTTAGAAAACAAATTTTAGACGTTATTTCACGTTTTAGAAAACTGTTTTAATATATTGTAATAGGAGTTGATTAAAATAATCTATTTTGACAGAGTTCAGAGGGGAGGGGGGGGGGGTAAAATCGTCAAAAAAGCGTGACGTCATTTATGGATGACCCCTAATAATGCTGCCGAAAGTGGGGAGGGGTGGAATTTGGTGAGGGATGGCTTGGAATGTTAGAGAAAGTGTGACAACTCACGTTGCCTTTTTAAAAAAAAAATAGTGTTAGACATTAAATTTCATACGTCATTTTGCATTTTTAAGGCTGTACAGAAATAGACTAATTTAATTAATATTGTAAAAAAAAATGCAATCGTGATGCATGAATTTAAATAGTAAAACGAACAGCTAAATAATACAAATTTATTACAGGGGGTCATCCATAAATGACGTCACGCTTTTTAAAACGATTTTACCTCCCTCCCCACCTCCCCTCCGTCACACGTCGTAACAAAAAGCCAGACCCTAAAATGATGTCACACCTCAGCCTATAACCCCCATCAAAATTGCTGTTGAATTTTTCTTAAAACATCGAAATTTTTCCAAAATCTTGTCAGAACTCTGTCAACATAGAGTATTTTGATCAATCCCTATTACAATTTATTAAAACCGTTTTCTAAAACGCGAAATAATGGCTAAAACTAGTTTGAATGTGACGTCATTTATGGACGACCCCACATCATTTTTTTTAAAGTCAGAAATTTACTCATACAGAGAAATCATACTTGATACATATATCAAAATATTGGGAAGGATGGTAGATCTACTATGAATTTAAATAACATACAACTCTATAGTAAAAATATATTTTTCAGTTTTGGCAAAACTGTCAAATTAAAAAACATAGTTTGTACATTTATAGCATAAATACAAAATTATAATACAGAATAATTAACAGTGTATCAGCTTTACCATGAGACAAATGCCTTTTTAAAAAAAATACAACACAAATAAACAAGTCTTTTTTTTAAATATTCATTTTTATTCATTTGTGAAAACAAAAATACAATACAAATAAATAAATCGTGTTTTCCTAATGTTTTGGTGTGTTTCGGTTATTATAATAAAATACGCTCGACTGGAGGTAAACAAGCAACGGAGAATAAAATACGCTAAAATGGAGTTTTACCGAAAGTTTGTTATGTTAATATTAATTAATGTTATTGTTAATGACATTGTTATTGTGATTGTGACATTGTCATATGACATATTCAGACATATTGTTGTAATCTATCGTTTTAGGTACGTAAAATCGCCCGTGGCTAGGGGGGGTTGGCGTGGTCGAGTCGGTAAAGCTCATGGTTGCTAAACCCTCGAGCAGATGAGACAGCCACTGCTCTGAGAGACAACTCCAAAATCAAACAACTGCTGCCTTGTAGATCTCTAGTTTGTTCTTGGTTGGACAAAGGCTATGGAAGCAAATCCAAAAAGAAAAGCAGGCTGAAATCTGAGTCAATGGCTTCAATGGCGCATAACCAGTTGACACGTATCCTTAATTGAATAATTGACAAATTGTGAAGGAGGCGTGGTCGAGTCTGCAAAAGCACATGGTTGATAAATTCACAAGAAGTCTCGAGTTCAAACCCTCTGGCCGAAAAGGCACGATCCCTTCAAACACTAAAAATTAAGAACAAAGAAGAAGAAGCCTGCAGCTAAATAAAGTTACCTCATTGTCAATAGAAGTATATTGTGATATATTTGTGTCAAATATTATATATAAATGAATAATAATAGGCCAGAAATTAACATTAAACAGCAGTGTTTGCGAGCAAGATTTGCTATATAAACAGGAGCCATTTGTAAAATAGAGTGGCTTCCCCTGAATCTCGTGCTATAAGTTTACATAAAAAACTTAAACAAGATGGCTGCTATAGTAAATGAGCATGGTTGCATCTGTTGGAAAAATTGCTAGTCTTCATTTATTACTGAAAAGTTTTAATTCAATTGTTTAAACACAGGTACATAAATGAAACTTTGAAACATTTTTGTAAATTTCAAATCTAAAATCCTCCTATAAATGTGAAATAATTATTAAAATTTAAGAAGTCACCTGTTTTTACAAGCTTTTATTTAACTCACTTCCTCGTCAGTCGTCAGTCTAGACGGAAACGCAGGAGTGAAAATTCGGACAGTTCTACTTGACCGATACGATTCACAGTTGGCACGTGGGTCAAGACATGAAGACAATGCAATCTGAATCTAAATTTGACTTAATTGGATGCCTAATTAATTTTTTATGAATTAATTAAAATTTGGACCGAATTAGTAGGCATGTCTAGCCAACCACACCACACGCGTCATCACCTTCAATAGCTGCGCCATCACGTAATGGCTGCGTTCAAAAACAATTGCGCGCCTACTGAACGTGATGTTCAGTAGGCGCGCAATGGTGTTTAGTCATGTAACTCTATTGTAAATAAAACATGTAAAGTACTGAAAAAAAATTCATAAAAAACGTTTTAATAACAAGCTTTTATGTAAAAAGTAGAAAATAAATTATAGACTACTATTTAAATAACTATAAAGAAAAGCGTGGGTGTCTTCCTTAACATTAGTAAAGGTATCCAATAGATACTAAAGTGACCCACGCTTTTCTTTATAGTTATTTAAATAGTAGTCTATAATTTATTTTCTACTTTTTAGTGCATCATTACATAAAAGCTTGTTATTAAAATGTTTTTTATGAATTTTTTTTCACCTTACTAGTCACGGGCAATTTTACCTACCTAAAGCGATAGATTACCGTTATTGTTATGAATGACAATATTCTGAATGTTTTAAAATTTTTAGAAGTTTTAGTTTTTTTTTTAGGGTAGGCAGTTGACTCCGATTTCAGCCTGCTTTTCTTTTTGAATTTGCTTCAATAACCTTTGTCCAACCAGCAGTTGTTTGATTTTGGAGTTGTCTCTCCAAGAAGAGTTATCGGGTCTCATCTGCCAGAGGTTCGAATTTGAGACTTATTTAGCAACCATGAGCTTTACCAACTCGACCACATGACCCCTTCTCTATGCCTACTTGTGAAATCTGTAGTGTATTGACTTTAGGCTTAATATTGTTGTTTGTAAAAAGGTTAGGGTTAAGTATCTTGGTGAGCATTATCTACTAAATATAATAATACCAATTTACAGTATATCCAATACATTTGGTAAAAGACCTTTCTCATTCATGACATTAATACTGCATTACACTAAAGTCCTTTTTATAAAACTGTTATAACTCATTCAGTAAATTCTTTTTGGGATTGAAGAATTTTTTTTAACCCACCACTGTAACTAATTTATGTTATATAATATTCTTTTTCATCAGTGGCTGTAATCTCAGTATGTATGAGGAATTTTTTAAGTCCCCACAAGCAAGGCTTTTTCAAAGATGATGAGTCTCTTATGCATCCTTATCACTCTTCAACAATTCCAAGTTATGTACTCTATATTGTTGGATTCCTAGTACCACCTGCAGTGGTATGTATATAAAAGGTTTTAAAACATGTTTGAGAAATTCATTTTTATTTATTATTTATGTATTAGTATTTTATGTATTGTCTACTATACTATGTACTGTGGTGGGAAAAAGGAAACAATTTAATCTGTAATAGTCAGTGAAAACTGTAGTTGAACACAATTGCAATATAAATTGTATCTTGTAGGTGACATGAATATAGCACTGCCAAAAACTGAAATTATTTGTAAAATGTATACTTTGAATTTGACTCTTTTTTTAAAGTAAAATGAAATATTTAAAACCATTTTTTAAAACATTTATTGTTTAAAATCTATTACAATCAATATCTTTCACATTCTCTCAAAAGTAGTTTTAAAAAATAAACATTTTGCTTGAGGATTTGTTTTATTCTATTTTGGCAGAATTCGAAAAGTAGGCAAAACTACAAAATATTTATTTTCAGATAATAAACATTTCTCATGAGGATTTGTTTTATTCTATTTTGGCAGAATTGTTAAATGCAAAACTACAAAATATTTATTTTCAGATGCTTCTTGTTGAATTAATTCATGTAAAGAATATTAAATTGAAACGAGGTAACGCAAAGAATTCGGCCCTCTTCAATAAGCAGCTAGTTTGGAATTTCTACCATTTAATGTGCTTATTTATATTTGGTGCTGGCGTCACCCACCTTCTGACCAATATTCCCAAATATTGTATTGGTCGCTTGCGACCACATTTCATTGAAGTGTGTAAGCCTGACTGGTCACTGGTTAATGATACTAGTAAATACATCACAGAGGATATTTGTACTGGAGAGAAGGCTCTGATTCAAGAAGCACGGTAATAGAAAAGTATTAACGCTTTAAAAAGATGTTTTTATAAGAGAATGTGAATAATGTATTGTATTTGTATTTATAAACATATAACTTTGTATATATAACTAAACCAAAAAATATGGTCAAATGACTTTTGGGTTTTTGTTTTGTTTTAAAAAATTTTTTTAGTGTTTCTTTTATAAGTTGTATTGCACGATATGAATATTTGATGTGAATTGAATAACTTCAAGTACTATTTATATGTCTTCTTTAGATTGTCATTTCCTTCTGGACATTCTTCTATGGCCTTGTACTGCGCTGTTGTATTTATGGTAATTAGTTACATTTATTAGAGGTAGTGCTAATTTTTTCATATACTTACTGCACAGCTATCATGCTGTTTGATAATTTAATTATTTTAATTAAAGATGTGATATGGTGATTTAAAAAACATTTCTCTATTATTTAATAAATGTATGTCTTAAATAATTAAAGAACTTTCTTCACAGCTGTATCTACAGAAGCGGTTTACATGGAAAGGTGTATTTCTAATACGGCCACTGATTCAAACCATTGCTTTTTCTATGGCTTTTTTCACTTGCTTGTCAAGGATCTCTGATTATAAGCATCATTGGAGTGATGTATTAGGTGGTGCTGTTTTAGGCATAGTGATTGGCTATATTATTGTAAGTTGTTTAACTGTCAAAGTAAATTGCTTGCCAGACTTTTAGTAAAAATAAAGTTAAAATAGTTAAAGTATGAATATTGCAAACTAGATTTAACAAAAAAAATCTTGGATTCACGATATGGAAAAATATTTTTAATAAAAGCTAGAATTGCAATATAAATGAATTTTATAAAATCTTTAGATTTAGGTTATAAAATATTGCATTTGTCTTACGTAAAAAAAAATATTTTGAATGAAACGTAGATCTTTATAATACATGGATTAAAAAAAAACTTGTGTTCTAAATTATAATAGGTGCATGCAATGGTAGAATGTGTTTTTAAAATTTTAGATTTAAGAAATAAAAGATTGTATTTTTCATATGAAAAATATTTTGAATTAAACTGCATAATTGATGGATTTAAAAAAAACTTGCATTCAATTTCTAACAGGCGCATGCTATGGTAGAATGTGTTTTTAAAAAGGCAGCACGATTAGCTAGGACTACCAGTGGAGAGCTGCCATCAACATTTTCTGTCTACAGATCTAGTCCAGTACCCGCTAGTGTGTCAACACATTTTTAAAGGAGCTAAGTGCATTAAACCAACGATATTTGTATCAGGGTTTAGAAAATAATTTATTATAACAAGTTTTTTGAGCTCATTACTTTTGTAAAAATAAATTAATATAACAAAGAAGGTTAACAAATTGTTTTAAAAATTTTTTTTTGTTTAATACATAACAAATATTAAGTTTTCTTTAAATGGATTTTTTAAAAATGTGTTTGAAAGTTGTTTAATTTTTTATGAAGTAGGCCTAATATATTTCATTGTAGGTAATTTGTCTTCAGCCTACTTTCTCAGTTTTTTAAAATTTTGTTTTAATAATATTTGAAACATTTTGTTTTTTAAAAAAATAAAATAAAAACATTTTACATCAGTTTATTTTTTTTTTTGACAGTCTTGTATATAGAATTATTATTTAGGTTATGCTAAACATATATATTTAAACAGCTATTGAATTCTAATTATGCACTGTTTTATTAGCTAAATTAGTAAAATATTTTAAAATGCGTAATTCAGTGTTGGTATATTCAAAGCAATCTGATGCACTGTTATTTTACATTATCAGGCATGTATATAAATAGTTGATTTGCTGTGGTTTCTCTCTTATTTTTCTCTTCCAAATAATTCAAGCATGTTTGGAATTTGAAAATGATCTTGTTTATATAATAAAAACAGTGTGATAATCCATTAACATATTAACATTCCTGCTTGTTGATCTCCCGTGTAGTTGATCTTTTTTTATACAATATAAAAATATTTTACGATGCAACATTTTTAGATACTTTACCACATAATTTATTTGTGATTGTTGAACACTGTCATTATTTTAGTTGAATCTTCATTTTAAAGATTTATTAGATTATATAGTGTAATTTTAAAGTGTATGTTATTTCATAACATTTTTTAATGGAGGTGAATTTACTAGAGCAAAGTAAGAATTAAGTTTAAAAAAAAACTATTTTCTTATAATTTGCTAATTATGGTGCTGAAAATTACTTTAGTTTGTATTTTAATTAGAGGAATTATTATATTTTTGTACATAGTAAGTCAACATTTTTTTTACTTTAATTTTTAGTTTACATTTTTTCCCCCATTTTTATGAAATAATCTTCTGTCCAGCTTATTTCATTTACAATATTACCCTTGAGTTACAATCATATTCATTATCCATGATATTTCTAGTCAATGTGGTAAAATGTCTTTGCTCCCTATTCTGTACAGAGTTTGAACAATTAATCTGAAAGATTACTTCTTATTTAACTGATATTTGATAAAAAATTAGAGAAAAAAGTACTATTATTTAGTTGAAACATTTTGAGTTTCTGTAAATCAATGAACACCTTATTTTCTTGTTTTTTTTTTAATTATTATACTCATTAAACATTTATTTAATTTAGTTCTAAGTAGGCCTACATAGATTCTAAATTTTCTTAACAGGTGCTACTAAAATACATGATGACTTCGATGTTGAAAATAGTTGCTAATGATTAAACATGACTTAAAATCAATCTGGGTTTTTTAAAAATTTGGTATTATTTAATGCATTGATCGCCATGAATTAAACACAAAATAAGGAAAAAAAGTCCCAAATTCACTTTATTATAAGTAAGATGAGGGAACTTTTAACCTGGTGCTTATATATACGGTAAAAAAAAACAAGTTTTTTAAATTAATATTTGTCACATTTAAAAAGTTTAATTGTATTAGTTTTGGTATTTTGAATAGAAAACTCAATTCATTGAGAGTTTGCCTAACATCTTTCTTTTTTTTTTTGAAAAATAGTATTTTTCTTTCAGCAAGGTTTTAGTCATCAAGTTTTAAAATATATCCTTAACTGCTAGTCCTAAGGTCCAAATTCGATACTGCAGGAGTACTTGAGTCCACCCAGCTATGATGGGAATCAAACTAATAGGAAAAGAAAAAGTGGTTGAGTACAGTGCTGAATACTCCATCCCATCATATGATACAGGTGCACTCTACTTCAGCTTCCCCATGGACCTTAAGGGCGAATGGGTTCTTTACAAGTAGACATAATATCAATAATTTTGGGCAAGTTGAAATGATTTAACTTTGCAATTAAAAAAAAAAACTCCTTAAGTAAGCATTTATTTTATACCTTGAGCTTTTATTTAATACCTTGAGCTTTTATTTATCTGCAGTAGCTATTATAATTTGCATCAAATTATTGTAAATTTATATTTTATCTTCTGCAATAACAACTGACATCGAATTAGTATTACTATATTTAAGCTTGACACCTTTACCATAATCAGGTTGTTCTACACAATAAACTTGTTAATAAAAAAATATTTTGTTTGAATTCTTTTTTTTTTTGGCTGATTTCAAGAGCACTTGTCTGATAAAAAACATTGAAATCATGTCAGTTTATGGTTTTGACTAATGAATGAATGTGAAGATTGAGCATTTGTGGTGTGAGTACATTTACAAACTTAGTCAAATTTAAAATAAATAAATAGGATTTCATAGATCAGACCAGACTGTTGTAGAGCATCACTTTTAGAGTCTGCAACTTTTAAGCGCTCATGGAATGCATCAGGAACCAACTTGATTACCTATATTTAGCAGAGTCTAGCCAACAGTAGATGCAGGAGACTTGCTTGGTGACAGAGATTACTGATTGTCAATGAAGTAAAGTTTTGAAAATGAATCAACGGCTAGTTTAGAACCCAGTCATATTACCGGCTGCTCTAATGTTGTAAAGCCAGATGATGATTACCTTTGAAAAAAATTCCATGGAAATTTGTTTGGTGATTGTGTTAGTAAAGCATCCTTTTGGTCTATGGGGCAGGTGAAGTAGATTTTACCTGTTTCAGTGGCATAAATAAGGATAGTGTGGTCAGCACTGCCTAGCTGCCTGTACTAACACTAGTCAAGTGCCCATCACAGCTGGGTGGACTCAAGACCTGGATCTGAACTCAAGAGGTATTAGGAGTCAATGGCAATGCTTCTGGTGTTTTGTCATTATTTTAAAAAGAATATTAACAGTATTTGCAAATAAACACACTTCTAATTTTTACATATCTGTTGTTCTAAAGACTTAACAGAATAAGATAAACATTTGAAATCCAAGTTAACTTTATTATGTATTTTTACACAATAGCTTGAAAGAATTTTACAATTTTAGCCCGAGAATAAAAAATGATTAAAAATTTCTCTACATTTCCTACAACGGAAACTCATTCTAAAACAAATATATTTTGACAAGCAATATTACTTAATTATACAAACTTTGTTGATTAAAAAGGTTTGTAATAACTTGTAATATTCATGTACATGTGTAAACTGTACACTTTGTATTTAAATTTAAAAATTTACAAGAAACAAACATTAAAAATGTAAAAATATTTATAACATGTATCCTGATAAGATGTATTTCAATTTAGAGCTAAGCTCTATCATATCGTAGTAAAGAAGAAAGGTTACAACTTATGTTAACTATTTCTATTTCCCTAGATTTGTTTTAAAATATTTACTGTAAAAGTAATATATTTTTCTTAAGTAAATGCAAATACAACAAAATATTTAGAGTAAATATCATGTAGTGAGTTGTATTTTCATTTCTATAAAAGGGACGTGTTAAAAAAATCTATGATGGTTTATATAAAATTCAGGGCAGACATTTAAACAATACACAATTTTATGTATATATAATACAAAAAAAGACTTAAACGGAAGACTACGTGTTTTTTAATGAAGGTGCTGTGTATTCCTCCAGATCTTCAAAATGTCTTTTTGTAGAAAGTAGCGTCACATGCAGACTATCCATTATATTTCCATCTTCATCAGGAACCACTGTCAGCTCTACATTATACACATTGGCCTATGCAGAAAGAATCAAAAGAATTAAGAATTACTTATGAAGAGATAATTTTAAAACAGCTTATTATCAATTACACAGGTGGTCAGGCACTGCTAATCTGAAAATTGCGAGTTCTAATCCTAGGACCATGCCTGTAGGAAATCCACCCAGCCCTGATGGGTACTTGACTGAAGTAAGCTAAATTAAAGGCGGCCAGTATATAACTGATCACACTATCCCTTCACATGCTAAGATACTATTGACTGCCAGGTCAGAATGGGTAACAATCCTTTATCCTTTAAGGTTAACAATTAAAGTTTCTGATAATACTTATCTAATTAGAAATTTAATTTGCTTTCCCAAGCCTAATCCTAATGATGGAAGTATAGAAAAAATAAAAACACTGAGCTGACTGCTGTCATTGAATCTGAAGTAGGGTATTTGTAACAACCATAAATAACCTTTCAAACATACCAGTTGTAATGTGGCTAATAAATATCGGCAAATTTCATATTCTTGCTTCCCTCTGACTAACTCTCTAAATGCCCTTTTCTCTCCCCTGACAAGTTGTTCTATTAGATATGTTCCATATCTGTGAATGTCAAAATGCTCATGCTTTTCCTGCAGATAAAAAAAAGATTTAGTAAAGAAAAAAATAATAATTTGGTTAGCCTATACAGAAGAGTTAGCCAGTTTGTATTTTTCACAGATAGGGTAAAGAGATTAAAACCACAGCCAGCAGTCAAAAATAAAATCTACATGGTTTACCTCTTCTTCCAATTTTGGTTTTATTTTTTCTTCCCATTCAGAGACTCTCCGAGATAATTCAGTGATCTGAGCATACTCCGCAGCACTGGCTAAAAACTTTTCCTGGATTGGATAAAAAGTAGTTTTTTTACACAGTATGGTTATTGAAATGAATCTAGCTAATGGTTGGTGTTGCAGTGTGCTGGAGGAGTCTAAAAGGATAGGACACAGCTGGTAAAGGCTGAAAAGAGTGGCAGGAGACCGGGCCTTTGTCAAAGCTATATTCCTTATGGAATAACGATGAAGTTAATAGTTAGATAAACCAATTTAGATATCATGTTATATAGAATTAACAGTGTTTAAATGGTTATTTAAACAAGTCATATCAGCTAAGCCAAGAAAATTTTTATTACCACATGCTTCTGAACTAAGTCCTCATAACTCATGGTGATGTTTTCAGACAGGTTTGAACTAGATCCTGAGGAATTAAAAATTACAGTTTTACAACTTCGCACATCATGTAGACACAAACAATTAACTCCATTGTGTTTATAGCCATTAATAATTTAAATAAAATACTGGTATATCAACATACCTGCTTCTAAATAGGTGGTTAATCGCCTAGCATTACTATGATCCACAAAAATATCTGGATTTAACTGTAACGCTGGTACGTCATCGTCTTCATTATCATCATCTGGTATGGCTGAAAAATAAAGGTAATATTCAAAACAACACACATAACATACCATGAACATGTTCATTAGGAGATCTATAACAAGTTCAACTTACCAAGAGGCAGCACATCCTCTTCATCACCCCCATCGTCACCCAGATTATCTTCTAGCTGCTCTATTGCTTCACGTTCATTTTTCTTTAACTAGCGAGAGAAAAACAATTTTCAAACTAAGAACATATCAGATCCTAATGCGTATTGTTTCAATTTAATACACTAGTAAAATGAAATTTTTTAAATGCATGAAATATTTTAGTAACCTTAACCACAGACTTACAAAATGTGCAAATTACAAAAGAACAGACATTAAATAGTATATACATTTTAAAAAACAAACTAAAACACCAATGGTAGAAGAGGGTGAAAATAAACCAGTGCAACAAATCCATCAAACACTCACAGTTTTTAATTCCTGTTTGATCAGCTCTTCCCTCACTTTATATTCCTTCCAAAAGGCATCTTCAAGCTCTGGGAACTCTGGGACTTTTAAAGGATTTTTTGGAAACTTGGACTTGTGTGAATATACTGCAGAATTTTTTTTAGTGCAAGATTAATTAATACTATGCAGCTAAATGAAATTACTATATAGAACAAAATATAGAAGCTCTAGAGGTATGGGTATACAGTGCTAACGTGTTTATACTAATAAAACTGTAGTTTTCTTTTAAAAACATCAAATTAACGTCATATTTATATTTCTTGTATTTTACAAGTACACAACTGAATTAAAAAACGGAGCTGTTTTAAACAAAAGATCACACTCTACATTTCTCCAGTCATCAATATTTGGACTGTATCTAACTCTTTAAGCAAAAGCTTAACTTATTTTGTGTACGTTTGAAAATTTCAAATTTAATTAATATTAATATACCAGCTATTTACATCGAGAAGTGATGTCTTTACATCTTTAAATTTTTTACAGTGATATATAGTATCCTACGAAGTGTATACTTACGACTCTCAACTACTTCAAATAATGGCGGAAGTTTTTTCTTCACTTCTACCTTCTTTTTTCTTTTCTTTGTTGTGTTATCTTGCAAGTTGGGTGGGATCTTGAATGGTTTTTCTGGAAATTAATAATGCAACAACATAACAGAAGCTTAATTAAAGCCATATGTATGGAAGTAAAAAAGGTGGTGATAATGTTATCTTAAACAATTAAAAAATGTAATTAAAGAAAATTTGGAAATGAATCTTGTTAGAAATAAAGTAAATGTCTTTTAAGTTTTAGTCAAAAGACCAAGTTAAAAAATCATATTGCATCTATCAAAGTACATGTAGTAATACTAAACTTTTGCTGATCCAAGTCCAAATGTCATCAGCATTAAATTTTAAAGAAATTCAATTTTGAAATCTTAATAAAAGTTAATAGGTGGGTCAGTAGTAAACTTCTAAAAATGTAAAAATAAAACAAGTGTCTCCCCTTTGAAGAAATCAAGGTACATAATAGGTGGGTCAGTTTATACAGTATAGTTATAGTATAGTTATAGTAATTCTCTAAAAAATATAAACATAAACCAGTGTCTCCCCTTAATAATAAAAACACTATTTTGCAATAGGTAGGTCAGTTTACTATCACCAACTAATATAGTTACAGTGAGCTTCTAATAATAAAAGGATAAAATCAGTGTCTATTAAAAAAAAACAACAAACATCTAATGTGCCATACACAGATAAACACATAAAATTACTTTTCTTAAGAGGTTTTTCCACAGCTTTGCTTTTTTCATAAGGATCTAGTAACAACCACGGATCATAAGCCTGTTAAAAAAAAAGAAATATTGTGTTAATGTTGATAATGAGAATCTGAATAAAGCAAAATTATCTTTATGAGCAAACAAGCTAATAGTTTAATTATGTTTCTTTAAAACATTTACAGATGTAGACTTACTGGCTTAGTTGTTTGTGGTTTAGCTATTGTTGCTTTTTGACGTGAAGATTTTCTTTGAATGTTGTCCACCTGCAGAAGTTTTAAATAAAGGATAAAGGTACCTTAAAAATATTGATGAAAAAAAAATTAACAGAACAAATCACAATAAGTAGTAGAAAAACAAGCTGACAAGCGCTGTTCATACCAAATTTTCAGCTTCTGGAGCTGTCTCCTTATTATACTGAATATCTCCATCATCATCTTGAATTTTAAAAATAAAATGAACAATTTACAAAAAAACGAAAAAGAAACAACTTATAGTATAAATTGATTAAAATAAAATAGAAAAAAACCAACTCTCCCAATATTCAGTTTATTTTTAAGCGTTAATGAGGCAAGCTTTGATATATCTATAAAAAAAATAACGCATTTTAAGTTAATTATATAGATAAATTGACTTACTGGCTAAAACTGGATTTTCATCTCCATCATCATCATGGTCATCTGGTAAGGGCAAGACCATACTATCACCTCGACCATCGGCAAACTCTTCTTCAACTGAGATAAAAGATAACATGTAAAAACAAACACACTAATACAAAAGATTCAGTTAATCTATTAATTATTTAAGTATGTATAATAATTTACAAACAGGTAAAATTCATACCCAAGTTGTGTAAGAAGGGCTGAAACCTTGGTATATTTAACAAAGCGTTATCTCCCATCTCAAGCAATAAGCTGCCATCAACACTGATGTAGGCTGTGTCTATGTTGAAATCACAGTGGTTTCCCATCAACTCTCCTTTTTTGCTGATAATAAAATTAAAAATCAACACCAAAATCTGCAATGTATCTAAATTAATAGTGTATTATAAATTTTAAAATGTTATACAAATACAGCATGTCCACTTTATTGTGAAATGAATGTAAATTTCTACTAATATCAGCTGCCAGAGGATTAAGTTAAATGCCAGAAAACTGGACTGGAAATATTTTTTGAACTTTTCAACATAATATTTTTACCACTTTAATATGAGAATAAGATTTATTAACTTTTTTCTAAAGATTGTTTTACGTTCAAATATTAACTTTTTAAAACCTAATTTCAAAACAAATTCTTACTTAAAAAGAGCACTGTCTCCTTTTTCAGCTTCCTCTAAAGGAATTAATCTTGTTGGCATTTCAGGAACGGGCCGAACATTCTAGAAATAAAAAGTTCAAATAACTTCAAAATAGGGGGGCGGTGTAGTTTGGCATGGGTACACATGACTGCTTAACTAAAAAATCCATGAGTTCAGACACTGGGTAGATGATACCGGTTAGCTGGGGATAGAAACGCCATCTAGGAGAGAAAACTATACAACGAAACAATTGCTGCATCGCAGACTGTTTTGGGTGGACAAAGGGGTGGAAGAAAAGCAGGCTGAAGTAGAAGTCAAAAGGCCATATGGGGCATAACATGTTAACACTTACATGTAATGAAGGATATTCCCTGCAATATTAAAATCAAGCATGAAAAAGAAACCTCAAAATGACAAACAAAACAACAAACTTAACAGGTCAAGTGTTGCAGTAGAAAGTAGAATTATGATGTTTACCTTATTAGATGTGATATCCTGTTCCTTTGTGTAGGATCCTTCACCATCTGGTATATCATCCAGGGGAAGGAACTGAAATATAAAATATTTATAATTAAATACGACAGAAAAAAAAAACAACTAACTTATGCTGATGGTTGCTAAATAAAACTTTTGAAATATTAAATCCTAATTATTTAAAAACAATGTTTCAATAGGTGTGTATCATCAATATCATGTTTAACCTCTTAGCAAAGAAAAAATGCTAGAAATGTTCATATATATATATATATATATATATATATATATATATATATATATATATATATATATATATATATATCAATAATTATATATCAATAATTTTAAAAAATAATATTTAGGGTGCTAAATAGATAGAATATCATATTGTATTTGTGATTAGGTTGATCTAAATATTCCAAGAAGGCTGAGGAATGGAGTAATATAAAATTTTACTAAATAGCCCACCTGTGCATCTGTATCACCACCATCATTGTCTTCATTATCTGCCCCATTTTCTCCATCACCAGATTTAGCTGTCTTTCTGAATTCACAGAATACATTTTTTTATTGTTTAAATATTATTTTGTTATCAGAGAGAAGGGCAAAAAAAATCACAAGTCAAACTAAAACCATTACACACAATCATAATTAACAACTAAAGTAAAGTATCATCAAAGTAAAGTGAACATACTTTTTTTGTGTGACAAGGTCCAGTACTTGATATACCAAAGAATGTAAGTATTCAACCTAAAAAAAGATTTATAAATACTTATGCATTAAAAATTTAAATAAATTATCCTAATATATAATTCCCCATGTGCGCACTTCTCTCTCTCTCTCTCTGCAAAATATTTTCGCCGGACATCACGTCAGAAACGGCAGCGATATATGGAGAACTTTATACGGACTTTTGTTGAAAATAATATGTTAGATGTTTTAAATGTATAACCACAATTTTATTTAAAGAAGAAAAATAAAAATTAAAGGCGTATTCGAATGTAGAGAAACAGTATTATTTATGCAACAGGAAAAGCATTAATAGATGTGAAAAAGAACGCATAAAACTGTGACGTCACTATTGCTTATACATTAACTAATGACGTCATCTGCCGTGTTTAGAATAAAAAGAAATGAACTATTTCATTCAAATTTGATTTAGATCTACGTACACTATGAAATGTATACAATACAATTTTTCCGGCCTAAACTCATAAAATGTATTTTATTTATTTGGATTCTAGATCCAGATATTCTAGATTCATCTATTCAAATAATACATTTCTATACTCAAGTATTTCAGGCCTTAATTACTTTATTGAAATCTTTGTTTATCAATGCAATTTGCTAATCTCTATAATATATAAAGCAAAGTTGTCGGGTGCCCGATAGGGCAACTCCCGGCGCCGCAGGCGCTTCAAATTTGGCAGGATCTTGCCTTGGGGCGACAGAACACGGGGGCCGGTTGGCCGAAAAGTCTACGATGATGGGGTCAAAACTGACCTCGACTGACCGGCGTCTTATATGAGCTATAAATCGAAAAAAAATGTCCACGGAGGAACCTCTTCATAACTCCTGAGGTCGTAGACCGACCCTCGGGTGAATTAATTAAGCATTCAAATTCTCAATGTTTTCGAAAGCCTAAGCAAAGCTGGGCAGCATGCCTAGTAATTAATAGTGAAATACTTTTAAAATAAACCGGGAGTGATCTCCCCTAAACTTTCTCGAATATTCTTATATAAAATAACAGGGGATGGGAACTCGGGCTATAGACATGATTTTTAATCCATTTTAAATACTTAAAGTTTTAAAAATAGAATAAAATCTCGTAGACAAATTAATTGCACACCAAGTGAACGCCCAATAAAAAAGCGCATAATAGTGCGCAATATTATTATTACTTTTAAAATTTACATTAGTTTTTTGAGAAATCGGAAGTAGCATAAATTACTACTTCCAGTCAACGGAAATTACTCAAAATTTAACAGAAGGTAGAGAATTAGATCTTTTACTTACATGTGAAATTTCATTTATCTATCTGAAATAGTACTCAAGTTATAGGCTTTTGAAAAATTCAAAGTAGGAAAAGTACCACTTCCGGTTATCGGAAATCGCTCAAAAGTTGATACGGATCTACGATTTTGATATAATACTTATATGTGAAATTTCATCAACCTAGCTGTAACGGTACTCAAGTTATCGTGTTTACACACGGACACACAGACAAGATTGCAAAATTATGTTTTTCCGTATCAGTGAGGTGTAAAACGTCGAGATCTGTAAAAATCTCGATTTTTTTTTTTGCACGATTACAATACTTTCTCTATACTTCGTATATACGAGAAAGTAAAAATCAATGGTTAGTAAGTTATTTGTAAAATTAAAATTTTAAACCATAATTTGGTCTAGTTGTCTTATTAATATACAAAGCACATTAAAAAAAAAATTATTTAATTTTTAACAGCATATTGAAAGTTAGTAATTTAGTGTATGATAAATAAGCTCTGATAAATTACTTAGATGCAAAAAACTAATTTGAGTTAACAAAAAGAATAAACTACACTTTTGAATTAATACTTCACCTTTTTAGCGTAGACACCTGCAGATCCTTGAATCAAAAGAGCAGCTTCAGAAAAGTTCATAGTTGTCATTCCATCATCAAATGTAATTTCTATTTTTTCAAGCTATTTCAAGAGGAAAAGTTTAACTAATTAAATTAAAGAAAATTAAAATATGAAATCATAAATTAAAAGAAACAGCCCTCTAATTATAATTGAAACTGCTTTAGTAAACTTTTAAATAAAAAGAATCAATCGTTACATCTTCAAGGTATTCCTCTAGGAAATGAGCAATGTCCACATCCCAGTTTTTGGCCAAATCTCGAATAGGCTGTAAAATGTGAGAGAAACGTTCCTCCAAAGAGCACTGTGATCCATTATTTTGTGACATTTTATATATCAAAGGAACTGTGAAAATAAAATATATAGGCCTAAATTAATTGCTACGAAATCATTTTAAAAAGGAATGAACTTTAAGTTTATTTTACCATGGGAATGGAAAAAAAAATGTACAAAAATAACATTTCTATCATCGCCTGTGATAATCTCTATAATAAAAAATTATAAATTGATAATAGGGAATTTTTTTTTTATAATAATACAGAGAGCAATGTTTTTGGAGGATTCATTTACAATGTTACCAACTTGTATAATGATTGTATGTTTGTTAAATTAAAAACCTATATTTGTCTGCATTAAACAATGACTTTTTTTGGATATAATTTTTTATTAGCCTATTTAATGTTATTTTTTTAATCTGACATTATTTCACTTTAAAAAGGATCGGTTGCTAATCTAGTAGGTCTACAATATCGTCAAAGGTATTAGGTGTATATTGTGGTATTCCCCCTAAATGATCCATATTGTTTCAAAGCTGTTGATCACCATTTGACAAATAAAATTTGTATTAGCCTGCATATTAGTGTCCTAACTGTATGATTTGAAATACGAAGTTGAACATTTCTACTCAAACACCAGCAAAACTAAAAGAACACCTCATTAAGCTGCATAGAGATAGAAATTCAAGAAAACAATGCTCACTGAATTCAAGGTGAATCTGTGTATATCTGAACTAATGCCTGAAAGGCAAGACACTGATTTGCAGTGATGTTGACTGATGCAAAGTTCATTAGCATTGTGTCACCAGTAAAATTTCTAGATCTAGATGTTTGAGTTTAAAATTATTTTTTTAAAAATTTTTTTCCTATTAAGAAGGTGAATGTGAAGCTGGTGAGGCCCATTTCCCAATTTGACAACACTTTAACAATTAGATTCAAGATCGAAAATCTAATCTGGATCTAGTCTACCATAGTGGCCTAAGTCAAGTCTAGTTCTGCTACTGCTAGATTGAATATTTGGATGATATTAGATACAGATAGGCCTAATACTCTTCCGTAAAATAAGTGTGTTGGGTTGATAGTAGTATTGTAATCTCCACTAATTTCAAATTAATTAGGGTTAGGCGTAAATAATGAATATGCAGAATATTGAATATACTTCAATATAGATCTAGTTACAATGTCAATGCATATAGATTCTAGTAGGGATTTTGGTAAAAAAACACTAATCATCATATAAAAATAAAAATTACATATTCTTGTAGAGCTCAACTATATGAAAACAAAACAAAAAAGATTTTCTGTCTAGCTCAAATAGTTTTTTTTTAGCGAATTTTTTTGTGAGGGGTGTAATGCCCTTGCTTTTGCATTGGCCAATTGTGACAAGTCATGGTATACCTGAATAAATTGAGCATAGTTATTTTACTTGCAGTTGTATTTTGTTCATATTTGCAGAGTTGAGCTAGAATGATATATAGAACTTGTATATGCTGTTGAAATAAATAAAAATAATACAGAAGTATATTTTTGTGTTGGCTTCCTTCCATAACCCCAAAAAAACTGTGCTGCGCAAATATGAAAATGTTTCTAAAGCAATGTTTTACAGTGAATGAAAGAACTACAAAGTTAGCAATCTAAAGTAAATGACTTGAACACTGAAATGTGCATATAACTGCATATAACTGCCCCATTATTTTGGGCAGGTGAAGTAGAGTCCATCTTTAAGACATTTTGTTATAAAACTGTGCTGCGCAAATATGAAAAAGTTTCTAAAGCAATGCTTTATATAAATACAGTGAATGAAAGAACTACATAGTTAGCAATCTAAAGTAAATGACTTGAACACTGTAATGTGCATATAATTGCCTTATTATTTTGGGCAGGTGAAGTAGAGTCTATCTTTAAGCCATTTTGTTAAAAGTGAACTGAAGTTATCTGATCAATGTTTTTATGTGTGTATTTTGTATGAATTCTGATTTTCAGCATATAAATATAACTAAGTAAGGGTAAGTAGAACTTGAATACTTAAAATTACAGTTAGCACATAGCTAGTGTAGTGTATTCTAGCAACAGACAGGTAACCTATGTCTGACTCAGCAAAATTTTACTTCAAGCAAAACTAGAACCAGAGTTGAAAAAATGAAAGACAGGTAGATCTATATTAAAATATGTTTAAAACAACAAGTAGGAGATTTGTTTGTACATTACATAAGAATACTGTTGTTAGTGTATCAAAACTAAAAGCCGGCAGATCGGGATGAAGAAATATAACATTGGAGTCAATGGGGGCAACGTGACCTACTTACGGTGACTACTTTCAAATGAGTATTTACTAATGTCAAAGTCAAAATATCCAAAAATAAATATCATTTCTATAAAAATGGGATGTATCTGCTTTGGAAACTTTCATTATCTAAATGGAAACTTTTCAAAAATCGCGTTTTTAAAGCATTTGAAGTTAACCTTTATACCGCGGTAAGACCAAAGCAGAGACAGCATGCAATCAGATCGCTAAGCCATCAAAACAACTGGAAAACCATTCTACTTTTCATTTAACATTAGGAAATGACCTTTTAAACTTAATTAATTACCATAAATTAAAAACTTATTAGTATGCAAAACTAAATCTCGTGCGCCCGGTATCAGAAAGTAATGGGAGATTTCGGGTCATGTTTTTACCGCGATCTCGGCCGATACCGACAAGCCTAATTCTAGATCTAGTAATATAGTTAAATATAGGAGCAGTGTTTCTTCCAGACTTTTTTCACCGGGGGGGGGGGGGGGGGGGGAGAACAACAACATCCAGGGGGGGGGGGGGGGGCGGACACTGTCAAAAGTATACATTTTCTATATAAATTCATAAAATTCCATTTCGTTCGGGGGGGGGGGGGGGGCGGTAGACTTTCTTGCCAAGTCTTGGGGCACCATAATCATAATGAAAGGATGCCTTGTAAGAAACTCTGGATAGGAGCAGTATGAAATGAAGTATGAGTGATAATGGTCTAGACTAGAAGTACCTTTTCTATAATGTAAACTTTAGGCGTATTTCTAGATCTAGATAGCAGATCCAGTCGATATTTTAAAGTTTTCTCCAGGACCAACGCGACCAAGTCAAGTCCAGGTGGTGTCGGATTCTTCGTGAGATGGCAACTCCAACTTGAAATTCAGCCCGACTCTTGGATTTATCAGTTTTAGTAATCATATAGATATAGATCTAACATACAGATAGATCTACAGCAATAGCTAAACCTAAAATGAATCTTTAATAATTTGTAATCAATTATAGATTCTATATTATAAGCCGTACAATTAGAAAAATCTATATTTTCTACAGGCTTGTTATTGTTTATTAGCGGCCATATTTTACATTTAATCAGCCCGCTTTTTGATGTAACGAGACAAGCGATTGGCTAAAATATCTTTCTTTGAAATATTTCACCACTTTATTCTGGTACATAAGAAATAAATGGAAAATACATCGCCAAAATGCCTAAAATTCCGAGCAACCCTAGTACTTTATGAAAAAGCCACTCGTGCTTAGCTTATTTTGCACAGTTTGTCAGCAATACCATGTGGCTACACCAAATTTAATTTTTTTTTTTAGGCTTAGATCTAGATCTAAAGGCTTTTCTTTTTATTTGTTGTTTGACGTCTCCTTTTTTGCGGCGATTTTTTTTTTTCACCCCAAATAATTTTAATTTTATCAGATTTATTTATCGAATTTGTCTTTCATAAAATATTTTTATATAGGCTAAATGTTGATCTAGAACTTGATTTGATTATGCCTTATATTTATTTTTCAAATGATTATGCATTTAAACAATTGGGCTGCAAAGTTTTATCATAGTTTCATGTATGCAGAAGGTTTATTCTGTAGCAGTTTTTTTAAAAAGAAGCAACCGCTAATAAACTAATTGAACAACTTAATATTAACAAACGGCATCACTAGGTAAGAAAAGCCCATCAAGAGTCGTCTATGGAAGATCTAAGCTTTACCTAAAAGAGTTCAAAATCTAAAGATCGTTGTTGATGAAGGAGATGCTAGTGCAAAAAAAAAAAAAAAAAAAAATTAAATTAAAAAAAAAAAATAAACAAAAATTTTGTGAGGGGAGGGGGGGGGGGGGGGATGTTCAAATAGTGTGACGTCACACTTTTCCATTTAAAAAAAGTTATGTTAGTAGCTGAATTTTAGTCGTTATTTCGCTTTTTAAAAATGTTTTAATAAATTGTAAAAGAATTAATTAAAATAACATATTTTGACGGATATCTCAATCGGTCATTATTTAAAAAAAAAAGATCTTTAAAAATAATAATTCACATTCAAATTTGAAAGGTGCGTGAGGATGTAGGCAGTGTTTCTTCCACACTTTTTTCTCCGGGGGTGCACTTGAAATTTTCGGGGCGGACGGGGGGGGGGGGGGGGGGGGGGGGGGGGGGCGAACAACAATTTCCGGAAGGCTGACACTGTCAAAAGTATATATTTTCTATATAAATTCCATTTCGTTCGGGGGGGGGGGGGGGCGGTATACTTTCCTCGGGGGGGGGGGGGGGCGGGGCGGTGTGACATCATCTTAGAGGGGGCGGGGTTGGGCTTGCTTTTTGTAACGATGTGTGAGGAGGGGGGAGTTAAAAGTCGTCAAAAATGCGTGACGTTATTTATGGATTACCACTTCTAAAAAAATCCAGTATATTTGACAGCTGATTATTAAACTCTCCCGCACGTGGAGAAAAAGTCTCAAATGACAGCACTGCTAGCCCCTCTTCTACCCCTAGGAGTGTAGCATGATTTATGGAAGACGCTATAAATGAGTCTATCGTGCAGACTTCGCTGAATCAACATAATGCCGTAATTACAAGATTTTTTCCCCATTAAATCATATCCACATATAGCCTGTTTATTTCAATAAACTGCTGCTGTATATCTGCACTCAAGTAAGTGCTTAGGGGTCGTCGATAAACGACGTCACATGTGTGTGTGGGGGGGGGGGGGGAAGGGCTTCTGAATTAGTGGCGTCGTGCGAAAGGGGGGGAGGGCTCAGATATCCTTAAAATGTTTTAGAAAGGAATCGATGTTTTAAAAAGCAAATAAACTGCAATTTATGCGGGGTTTTTAGTCTGAGGTGTGAGATTATTTCAAGGGCGTGGGTCGATATTTTTGTTGCGATGTGTGTGGATGCGGAAGGTGGGTAGAAATAGTAAAAAAAAAAGTGTGATCTTATTTATGGACGACCCCTTAGTTTAAAATCACAAATATCACACCAAATGATTGGAAAAAAAATTCTTTGCTAAATCAGAAGGCATCTGATTTTCAACATAGCCTACAAAACAAAACGCACATCCTCGTTCCTATTTAAGCTTATCAAAATCCGCGCACTGAATGGGGAGAAAGAGCTTATAATTTTATAAAATTTTATTCTTTCAAAAACTAAATTACAAGTCTAAAGAGCAGAAACTTCAATGAATGCAAAATTACATAATTTATAAGCAGAAAGTTGCGGTTTAATTCTTAGCTTCTGAAAAATTGTGGGATGAAAAAAAGAAAAAGCTGTAAAGAAGATAACTAAAAGGCAATATTTTTTACATCAAGGTATAATTAATAGGTTTAGGCAATGATGCAAATCAATCGGTTAAAAATATTTTCTATTTTTTTAAATTTTAACCCTGGCGGATGGTGGTGGACTTTTCCCTACTAAAGTCCATACGAACATTTGTAGGGAAATAGAAACGTTTTAAATTTTTTGAAACAAATTACCCTTTAAAAAAAAACAAGACAAAAAAAAAACAACAAAAAAAACAAAAAACAAAAACAAACTCCATGTTTTGAAAAAAATGTTCATTCAAATAAAGACTAGGAAAAAAAAAGTTTAACGTCAAAAGGATATCCAATAACAACATAACTAAAAAGGTTGTTTTTGACCTAATAAAATCATATAATCTACATAATCTTAGTACTTGTAGGCACAATCACAGGACCCTGTAGTCAATACAAAATAAACAACATTGCAACAGAAGAGTAGTTTAGACAAGTGGATCAGTGGCGTAGCCAGGAGTTGGACATGGATATATATATATATATATATATATATATATATATATATATATATATATATATATATATATATATATATATATATATATATATATATATATATATATATATATATATATATATATATATATATATATATATATATATCGGTTATAACCATCCACCCCCCCCTTGCCTACGCCACTGACGTGGATTGTGTATCCGTTATTGGAGTTTATAAAAACCTTTGATTTTATTAGCCGCATTGATTTTGTAAATGCACAGCAACTAGATTTATGCAGCTAGCGAATTATTTTGCTGAACACGCAACAGATTCGAATCCCCGAGTAGGAAAACATAATTGGCAGGGAAAACTTGAATCCACTGGACGGGCATGATCAGGTTTCACCCCCACCCCACCCAGGTACTTAGCACCGTGGTGTGGGGGGGGGAGTGGGGCACTTGATATATTCGGGCGTGACGTGGACGATGATTTTAGTGGGTTTTTTTTTTTTTTTACTGTAATTTCCCTCCCATCTAGTTGCCGCTAGTGGTGATATTGATGAATCATCAGAGCACACACGAGATAAAATCTGGCACCATATTTGTTTTTAATATAAACTATAGGCGACTCTGTATTGCTTAACCGCACTCCCTGGTCATTAAAGTCTGAGACGTCATATCGCACACGCATGCGACGTCTTTGCGGACATTCCTGATTAATAAATTAAAAAACAAGTTAATTAAAAAGTCTAGTGACATTTAAGCGCAATTTCATTATGTTATCTATAGCTCTGTCGTAGCGTAAATCAAGAGCAGGGTTAGTAAAACCATTGGTTAGTTATTAAAACGTTTTTTATTTTAAAAAATTTCAGTATTTTACATGTTTTATTTACAATAGAGTTACATGACTAAAAACCATTGCGCGCCTACTGAACGTGATGACGCAGCCATTGAACGTGATGGCGCAGCTATTGAACGTGATGACGCGTGTGGTGTGGTTGGAAAAAATGCCTACTAATTCGGTCCAAATTTTAATTAATTCAAAATTTTTTTTGTGACCAAACGAAAGGATATTTTTGAAAACTTTCTTCGGCAATATTGTTCTAAATTATGGCAGGAATCGATTGGTACATGTTTCAAGTCGCTAAGTGGTCTGGTTGCCGAGATATGGGCAAAAAACTGCATTTTTTCGAGGTTTTTTGGCTTTTCCGGGAAATCCATGAAAGAAACCCGGAATTTTTATGGCCTATGCTCATCCTCGTAACTTGCTTAACATAATTGCTTTGGAATTAGTCCTCGATATTGCTTCGTTGAGGAGGAGATACGACTTAAAGCTGCGGACACACATTCATCCATTCATCCATCCATCCAGAAATGACGGGTTAATAAACGCAATTCTCCAGAATGGAAATTGCGCTAAAAAATAAAATCACATACGACATATTTTTTCGATTAAGGTAACAATTTATGTGTTTAAGTTTTACCAATCCTCTTCTTTAATAACCTTTTGTAAGCATCTCACATATGTTTTAAAAAGTATTAGTGGTGTTTTCTTATTGAACCCATAGCCCATTTACTTCTTCATCTGAGGCTTAACATACGGGACAGTTTGGTCAAATGGTAGATCGTTCGACTGATAACCCGATATTTACCTCTGATCTGAATCTTAACCTATGGGACAGTTTGGTCAAAATATCGACCGTTTACTGATAACCCTAATGACCCCTCAGTTGAATCTTAACGTATGGACGGTTTGGTCGAACAGTAGAGCTCAAGTTCGAATCCCGGTCTCAAATCCCTGAGTGCTGGCCACACTATATCCCTTCATATACCGAGGTCACAGTTGATGTACGTGATAGTTTTGTAAATGCAGTGAAATGCTATTTAAGGTTCTGCTTGTAATGGAGTGATATAAAGTTTTATGTAATGATTGAAAAAGTACATCGTGCTGACAGACGCTGTCTGAAATTAGTCGAATTAGAGCTACGTTGATTGGCTGCAATATAAAAAAAATCAATACCCCCAGCTGCTATATTGGATGTATGTGTCAAGAAAAACGCAA